CTCTTCACAACATCTTCATGTTTCTGTCCCAAACAAAGATCCAATGAACAGCTGTAGAATCCAGTTTCAAAATTCTCCCTCACCCGCTGCCCCTCCTTCAGCCCCCCCCCCTTTCGCTTCTTCCTCCCACTCTCCTTTGTCTAATTTATCTCCAGAAAACAACATACTTAGAAAATCCTATGAAATCTTCATGATTTGTGTTCATATACGCAAGTTCATAATCGACAAGCATTGATATATGGTATTTGGCGGATTGCTCTTTCTCGCGCATATTCGTCGCCACAATCCGTTCAATTTCATCGCGTAACCTCGGATAGCGTGCAACCTATAAATCAACCACGAATCGCATATACAAATATCACATTTCTTGTCAATTTACACTTTTACTAGGAATTTATTACCAGACTTATGCAAAAAAATTACCAAAAAGGCCTCGAACTAGCCTCTTAACAACAAAATCTTTGATAAGCGACCGAACCCAGAAGCAGTACTTATTTTTAATACATTTCTTACAAGTATTTTTATGCGTTTTTTGCAGCAATGCAATGCGAAAAACGCATATTGACGAGAGGTTATCTGTGTATGTATGTGTGTCTGTGTGTCCGTGTGTGCGTCTGTCACGGTTTTTCATCTCAAGACCTACAAAAGCTATGGGGCTGAAACTTTGGGGACTTAATCTACATGCACGTACGGGCCTCAATCCCCAAAATTGGCGCCAAACTCCACGTGGTACCCGTGTACGGGCCCGCCAAAGTTTTTTTCGAATAAGTTCATAACTCGGGGATCTGAAAAGCCAGGAAGCTGAAATTTTAAGGGAATGTTCCCCGTCCAAGTAGGTATTAATGCACCCATACCCATTCCCTGGGTAAGAGTGACACCCACGTACGAGCCCGCCAAAATTTTTTGCGGGTAAGTCCATAACTCGGGGATCTGAGAAGCTAGAAAGCTGAAATCTTAGAAGGGTGTTCTCTGTCCAAGTGGGTATTAACCAGTTCAAACCCTGCCTGCGGGTAAGCGTGGTACCTACGTACAGGCCCGTGAAAAGTTCCTTCCGGATAAGTTAGTTACTCGAGAACGTGAGAAGCTAGAAGACTGGAATTTTGAAGGGATGTTTCCTGACAGTTCTGG